AATGTTGCGCAGTGCACCCGTGGCATTTTCCAGGGCCTCGAGCACGGTCTCGACCACCAAGTCAAGACTCTCCCGCTCCATGCTCTCCGTGACATCGTTGAGAGTGAAGCACGCCGATGTCGGATCCTGCGGGTCCGTCCACCGGAGCAGGGGCACGCCCCACACGGGTGAGCCGCTACTCGCCAAGGTTAGGGTTAGGGATGACTCCCCGCTGGCCTCAAGAGCCGCTGATCCCTCTCGACAAGATGCCTCTGCCAGAATGCCCCCTCCGACAGCGGAAGAGGTCAGCGGTGCAGATGCGAGCCTCTACCCTAGCAACATGACTTCAAGGGATCCCTCGACCATGTCCCCCTCCATCTGACCCATGTCGGGCATCATCACTTGGGCTACTAATGGCATGGGTCGGGCCAATACCTCAACCAACACTGCGGTCGCACCCAGCTGTGACCCATCCATCACAGGCACCGCCACCTCCACCTACAACGATGGAGTCACAACTGGCTGCGCCGCCCCCATCACGGTCGGTATCACGAGCGTGGTCGGTAGCCCCATCCACCCCATCGTCGCCAGCGGTACTGTGGGCATCATCGGCTGCACCGCGATTGCCGAAGGTGTCCCTTGTGCGCTCGTGCCCGCTTGTCTTGCCGAGGGCATCGACAATGCCGTGGGCGGCGCCTGACCGGCCGACGACGTGGCCACACCAGCGCTGCTCCCGCCCAATACAGGCATGACACCAGCCGATGACCGCCACCCTAATTGAAGGGCAAGGCTCTTCTTTGACACCAGTGCCAAAGGATTCCACTGCCTGCCGACTCTACAAGGGGTGAAAAACACAAATTACAATGAAATTCGACTAAACAGGAAAAACAGAGGAATTGATAACTCACCTCAGCGATGTCGGGCAGTAGATGCCTTTGGGGGACGAATCCCCTAACCCTTGCTCCACCTTGTTGGAGCGAGGCCGTTTCGAGCCCGCCCCCTGCTCCTGGGCAGAGGGGCTCTCCCTTGATGGCTCTTGGGGCACATTGGCAGAACGCCCTGCTCCCCTTGGCTCTTGGGGCATGACGAAAGAGCCGCCTGCTTCCGCTGGCTCCTGTGGCACAATGGTAGAGCCGCTCGCCTCTGTTGACTCCTGGGGTGGGCCGGCGGTGCGTCCCATTTCCGCCGGCTCCCTAGACGTGCCCTCCCCTCCGTGGAATAGGAAGGGCCCTGACACCTACAAAGACGAACCGATACCTGCCAGCGCATCCTCGCTCTCTAGGTTGTCCCACTCGATATCGTTGGCTACCATTTCTCTTTCTTGCACCACCTCATCGACGTCGTCATCATCGTCATTGGTGTCCTCCCCTCGTTCCCGCGCCCGCTGCCTCCTTCGCTGCTTCCTCTTCTTGTTCTCCTCCGCGTTCTTCCACCGTTCATCCTCGGCGCGGTTCGCCGCCCTCACTACCGGATCCCTCGGCAGCGGCGCCGGGTAATCCATGAGGATGAGGTCCCTCGGCTAGTCCCGCCCCTCTCAAAAGTCAGTTCTATGGGGTTAGGAAATCAATTTAAAAAGACGTAGGAGCACTACAACACAACCCACCTTTCCATACAATTATGTGTTGGGAAATCTAGGGTTTTGACAACACATAATGTGTTGGCAATTCTTTACATTTTTAGCGTCACTTAAACTGTCGACAATAGTAATATAAGGCTACAACTTATATGTCGGCGTTTCTCCTTCCAACACATAAAGTGTTGGCGAAAGTTTTTAGACAGAAAAAATGTCGTTGTATCCTACCTAAATCATTGTCAAGTGTCGTCGGCGAAGGTAAGCCCCAAGACAAAAAAAGTCTGCCCACCTTTCATTCCTTACTCCTTTTCCACTCACGCAGACTTCGAAAAAAAAAAACCTCGCTCTTGCGAGGGCGCAGCCACTGGCCGCCAGCCAATGAGCACAACTCCGACGCCGGGTGCCGCCACCATCGCTTCGCCACTGGCGCCATGGCAGGGGCTCACGCCGCTGGCACCGCCAGAGCCGTGTCGAGGCTAGCACCGGCGTGGCCACGACGCCTTGCCCAAATCACCGCCTCCCAATCCCGCACATGAAGTTGTTGTCCCCGCCGAAGCCCCGCAGCCTACAGCCCTAGCCCCCACCGACGAATCCAACGGGCGTCGCCGCCCCAACCCCCAGTTGCCCCAGCCTGCGACCGCGCAAGCCTGCCGCCCCCAAGCCCACTGTCGCCCTAGCCTACCGCCGGCCAGCAAGAGCGGTGCCGCCGTTGCATCCCCATTCCTCTCTGCATCCAGGTGCGTCATCTCCGGATCCCCTTCCTCTCATCCCCATTCCCTTGAGTGCTACGGTTTCGCCACAGCTTAATTTCTTGTATTTTTTTTTCTTGGTTGTAGAAAGGAGTAGACAAAGGTGAGAAAGGCTAGAAAGATTCAAGGTTTGGGTTACTTCTCCTGCCAAACTTTCATTCAGTCTAGATCCGCCCTCTCTTCCCCTCTTTGGAGAAGGCTCGATTTAGAAGTGATGTTTACTGCCTTAGTTGATTTTGCAGAGGAACCAGCAGGATTCAAGATATTTTTGCTCAGTGCCTAATTCAAGAATAGGCGCCAAAAGTCATGATTGAGCTATGCTGTGGTGCTTCAGTGAGTCTTCCCAGTTTCATTCGGTGAGTGGTGGATGCAGGCTTTAGTTTTAATTAGCACCAATTATTGGATATTCTGTCACTTCAGTAATGTTTCTGGTAGAAACTATGTGGTAGCTGATGTCAAAGTAAGTGTGATACATGTCTGTATTTTGAAAGGTACCTCTGTGGCCAAAAATAGAATCTCATGAGCACGCAGGGGTTTTTAAGCTGTGACAAGGATAACTCTGGTTATGTTGTTTTTGCATTTCATAGAACATACACATTTTTATGTTGCTGTATCGTGGTGAATAGCTGCAGGCATATAATTTTGTCAAATTACAATTACAGTGTATCCCTGTTCATTATATAACTAGCGTTTTTATTAAATTGTTTCTATTGCTGTGGTAACTAAAAGTACATCTTTTGAAATATGGCTGTTTTCATCTTAAAATTAGGAAAGTTTCAGTTGTGTGTCAATCACCATATTTTTTGTCGTGCCATAGGACTTTCATATGCATGTTACCAATAATATATTTCAGTTGAATCATTTGTGTTTGCACATCAGATATATGTTGATCTTTCTTATATTGGCACAAAAGATTAACTTGAATTATTTCTAGGTTGGACCATTAGTGTTCTTATCGTGTCGTTAGGTCTGGGATGATGTTTTTTGTTATTTAACTATCATTAGTGTTCTTATCGTTATGTCCATGTATGGCAATAAGGTTCTGATGACTTGTGCATCACAGGATTCAGGACTCTGTTTATCTTTCCTTTGACAAATACTGTGGTGACCAAAGTGCAAAGTTGCTTACATGAGGGCTAAATTTTCTTCCTCTCTCGAATTCATGCCACCCTCCCCCCCCCCACACACACACAAAAAGTTACATGATGCGGGTGTTAGTTGAATGCTTCAGCGTTAATTGTACGAATTATTGGACGTTATATGCTTCTCAGCTTTAATTGGATCAATTATTGGATGTACTCTTGCTTTTTGCCAGATTTCGTTTCTTGTAGCTAATGTCAAACTCGTATTCTATGTCAGTCTGAAAGTGCTCCACACCATGGTCAGACTAGAATTGTATTGCCAGGTGTAGGGCTTAATGGTTTTACAAGGATAACACCAGTAATCATATGTTTACATTTTATTGAAGTCCCTACTGACAGGAAAGTAGTTTGTTATGCTAGTGTTATGGTGAGCAGATGTGGGCGTATGATTAACTTAAATTGTAACCCTAGTCATCATATAATTAATGTTTTATCAAATTGTTTCACCTGGAGTTTTGACTTAAAATTAGAATAGAGAATAGCTGTGTTCCATTTCAATTTACCTATGCTTTCCTGCTGATCATTTGGATATGCAAATGTGTGTTAGCAGTATATTTCACCACAACCATTCGTCTTTGCACAGCAACTACCTGTTCAACTATTTTGCTGGTGGCAGAGATAAATGTGAAATAGTCAATTAATTTAATGACGAGCATCTTGTTCTCTTATTATATCATTATAACTGGGGGTGATGTTCAGTTATTACTCAGTTCTCATTGGCATTTTCAGTGAAGATTTTTTTGTTAATCAGCCTGCATTGTTTTAGACTCTGCATGCTGAGCTTCAAGCATACTGCAGTTTTCTCATTTAGGCATTCCATGTGATTTGAGACATGCCCTATCAGCCTATGATGATTATGGATAGGTATCCATGCATGGCATAGGCCTTTGATGACTTTAGTATTTTCTGTCATAGGATTCATGACTCTGTTTACCTGTTATAATAATACTTACCCTGTTGCAAGACTTCAAAGTTGCCAACACGAATGCTAAATTGTCTTGTTTCTTTGTCCAGAATCGATTTACATGTGTGTGATATATAGAAGTTCACCTCCTCTAACAATTTACCAGTCAATCATGATTCATGGGAGCTATAGCAACCCTGAGATGGATGGAAGGGACCTGTCCTTCCTGGGTACCTGACTGCCTGCCGGGCTGGGCATAAATTTCGGCGGCGAGCATTGCATATGCCCACTTGTTTTTCCCTGTACCCAAGTGTTTTAGGCCTTAATGTCAATAGCTCTCGTAGTTTTCATTCTTACTGTTAGTCTTTTTTTCCCTTTGAGTGTGCCCAGCATTAGTTAAATGTTATTGAAATACTTTTATTCTTTGCTTTCCTCATGAAATACAGAAAAAAAACATTAGAACCTTGTGCAATTGTTTTTCACAATCAAAGCAATTTTCATCTTAGTTTTCATTTCAAGTGGAATGTCTAAGTACACTAAGAAATTACTCATGGAGCTCCCGCAGGACATCCAGTCCCCCTAGGACTTCTTCAGGTTCGGTTCCGTTTCCTGGCAGGCTACCACCTGCTAGCATAGTGCCCTCTGTTTTCGCAATGTGTTTTCCTTTCTCAGCTTTCACTACTACGGAGTACATATTCTACTAGTATGTTTAGCTTCATGCCAATCTTTGGGTGGTACATTATAGCATTATTACTAGGTCCTGGACTTTTCAGATAATGTCAGTTCGAAATTCAGTTTGTTTTTGGTTTTGTGATTTCGTAGTGGAGCAGTCAAGAAGTACCCCACGAACAGGATGCTCGGCCAACGGCAAGTTACAGATGGCAAGGTAAAATAAAACCTAATCTTTACAGATTTATTTTCACAAAGATATCGCCATGGCTTTCGGATATTCAACTGAATTGTCTTTCTTATATATAGGCCGGTGAGTATGTGTGGCAAACGTACGAGGAAGTGTACCAGAAGGTCATGAGGATTGGATCAGCCATCAGAAGCTTGGGCGTAGAGCCGGTGAGCGAAGAATGTCTTGTTTGATGTCGCTGTCTATGTTGAGATTTCATCTTCATCCTGAAAAAGTGAAAATGCATGCCAGTATTTTGAGAACTGATTCATCAAGTCATATATGAAGGGAGCTCACTGTGGCATATATGGATCCAACTGCCCGGAATGGGTTATGGCCATGCAGGTGACCTCATTGTATTTTATTCAATTTTTATCAGAATTCTTTAGTGTAATCTGATCCAAACTTTTTTCTTTAGGCATGCAACAGTCAAGGAATATGTTATGTGCCACTGAATGACACCCTCGGTAGGTTCTCCACTTCATCACACTGACTGAAACACATAAATGCCTGAATGTCTGAGTGCACTGAATACTCAGATTTGTGCACATGGTTAACATGTGTTTATGAACAATCTTATCTTAGACTAGAAAAAATATTGGAAAAATTACAATTAATGAGTAACTCACAATAGTGTGCTTATTTTGTCCTTCATTCTGTAGTTATCAAATCCTATTGTCTTATTGACGATTAAGTTGTAACACGATGCAGGAGCAAATGCTGTTGACTTCATCATGGACCATGCTGAGATATCCATTGCATTGGTCCAGGAGAGCAAGATCAAATCTGTAAGCAAAAACATTTGCCCCCTTTGAATAATATTATTATGCTCTGCACTGTGGTCTCCGCATCATACTGATTAATATGTTTCCAGTAAAAGCTACATGTGCTTGGGATCCAAGTTACAACAGAACTGGGCCTGAACCTGCTAAAATCAATGTTGTTTATTTGAAATTAGTTTCGGAGATCAATGCTACACATAACATTCTGTTTACATCTGACAACTCGTTGAATTGTATTTTTCAGATACTAGCAGTAGTCCCTAAGTGCACAGCCCATCTTAGAGGTTTGCCAACAGCAAACTTGCCAATATGAGGAAAGGGCTGAAGCAGCATGAAGCATCACCATTTTTCGACAAGATAGTTTTCAGCAAAGTGTGTACAGTGTTGGATCTCTTTATATTTTTTCTTTTTTACAAAGCTCTGAACATTTATATATATATCAAGTTGGTGTATGTATGGAAGATCTAATATATTATTTATACAAAAATCAAGTGAATTTGTTCAATGTGATGCCTTCTATATGAGCAAAAGTGGATTTATCAAATTATTTTAATTGTAATTATATTTATGTAGTTTTGCCGACAGTTTTTTTTTGGTAGGGTATGGTTTGTAAAATACCTTGGAAATGGTTTGGCCAACATATAAACTGTCGGCAAAGGTCTTAACTGTCGGCATAGGTCTTAACTATCGGCAAAGGGTTAACTGTCGGCAAAGGTTTCAACTGTCGGCATAGGTAGACCGTTTGCCTACACATAAAGTGTCGGCGATTCTGTTAACTGTCGGCAAAAGTTTCGCCCATGGCTTATAGCGCGACTGTTTCTAAACTGTCGGCAAAACTTTTCGTGGGAGGTTATCTGTCGGCAAAGGTGCCCTTTGCCTACAATAGAAAGTGTCGGCAAAAGTATGTTGTGTTATAGTGGAGAAAGGGAAACTTACGAAGACGACGTAACCTGGTTCTGGCCGCATCGGGGGATGCCCCGGCACCGGGTAAACTAGTCAAGGGCGGCGCCCGTGTTGTCCCGCAGAGGCTCCATCGCCTCCTTGATGTGTTGCATGATCTCAGAGTTGGGGAGCGCTCCCTCGGCGAGCGTCGTTTAGTCGCGCGACGCCTCAGGTGCCATCGCGTATAGCGGGAGCCCGCGCGTCATCAACGGCGCCACCCTCCTCGTGTGGTAAGCCCCGATGACACCCGATCACTTCAGGCCGTTCTCCTTCCGGATGTGGATGGCAGCGATATGGTTCCGGATCTTCTTCTTGTCCTTCTTTAGGATGCCCCACTTCCTCCATGGCTCCAGAGCCTCCTTGATCAGGCACCTGGTGAACTCTAGTAAAGGGGTGGCAGCATCATTCTTGAGGTAGAACCACTACGAGTGCCACCCCTCGTTGGACGTCGAGAGCTGCATCGGCGGGTACTCGCCGACCTAGTTGTTCCGAAGCTGAATGCCGATGCACCCCATCGGCATGTGCAGATCCGGCTTGTCACCCTTCTCCCTCTTCTTCTAGAGGTTGACAGTGAAGAAATACCTCCATAGGTTGAAGTGAGCACTGATCCCTAGGAATCCTTTGCACAGTGCGATGAACGTCGCCAAGTGTTGGATCCTGTTGGGATTGAGGTGCTGCAGCTCGATCTGGTAGTAGTGCAGCAGCCCCCGAAGGAATTTGTGGGCGGGGGTCGCGAGCCCGCGCTCGTGGAAGTGGGCAAATGACACCATGTAGCCGTCAGGCAGCGACAGCACATCCTCGTTGCCCGGCAGCAACCACTCCTAAGCTGCTGCGGTCTGCATGTGGAGGAGGCCACGGTGGAAGAGGCCCTCCATGCACGCGAAGGTGATGTCAGAGTAGCACCACGGATCCATTGAAAGCAGGGCCAGATGAATACGAGCTCGGTGGCGACGGAGAAGCAGAAGTAGGAAACCCTACCTTGATGGCGGTGGAGATGCGAAGGCAGGAAACCTAAGTGATTGGCGGCGGCGGCGTGGCTGTGGAGGTAAGGATGTAGGCGTGCGTATGAAACATGGGGGGCTAACCCTTTGGTTTTATAGGGGCGACGGGTGCGAGGAAATCAACCGCCTACCTAGATCTCCACGCCCGCCACGACCTGTCACCACGTCTCATCGCGTGGCGTGCGCACGCAACCTCTAGCCGTTCCCTCGGAAAATGCGCCAGACATTTCGCCTCTCTGAACAGGCCATGACCCATCATAGGTAAGAGGGATACGGAGCTAAAAATGCTCCTACAGCCCATCTAGGCCTAGGAGTTCGAAGGTTGGCCCATCAACGGGTTCGACAACCGCTCTAGGCACCTTTAGAGTGAGGGGTGGAAAGGGATGGGTCCGCTAGTAGCTAGCACCTGAGCGCATGAGCGCCGCGGGCATCCTGGCCCGCGTTCGAGTCTCGGCCAGATACAATCCATGGATTTTCCCCGAAGAAAGGCAGAGAGCCCTCGGGACCGGTCGAATGGACCCGAGAACTATATGGATTGACCGCTGAGAATCTAGAGCCGGTCACCAGCTGACCCAAGCCGGACACCCAGGAATGGGATGCCAGAGCCCCACTCGGACTAGCCCATTAACAGCTCATCGAGCACCATGATTCGTCCATAGAGGAAATCATGGCACGGCTCAGCCCCTCCATTTTTATTGGAAAGAACGCTTGAGGGAAGATGATCGCAAAGACGAGCCAACCCTCAACCGGACCCGCTATGCGAGGGGGCTCAAGGAAAGTTGGACTCATAGGGAGACCTAATGCGCAGTCACAGAACAGCGGAAGGTCGGCCGGACCCCCATAGGGGTCAGAATCAGGAAAGACCTTTTTCAACCCACCGAATCTCACAGCTATACCCCCAAGAGGTCTGATCACAACAAAAGGTTATCACCATCCCTAGGACACACCGTGAGTGACAAAAGAAGGCCAAGGCCCTTAGAGTCCTCCCGCTTGAAAAAGCCTCCGAAGGAGTTTCTACTCCTCCGTAGGCTCGGGGGCTACACCCACCGGGTGCGCTCGTGCGCACCCACTGGCAAGTCAAAAATCCCCCAGGCAATTTAGCCTGAATCACCTAGGGGCTTGGGGGCTACTATCGGGGACCAATAGCAGGGTATCTGAAGAGGAGGAGCTAATGATCATCAACAATGATTCACCCAAGCGGTCAAGTGCGCGACTACAGCTCCAACCGACCTTAGGCGCGCAGGTTCTGCCTCGCCCGACCGCTGGGGCACGAGCTCTAGCTCGCCCGACCGCTGGGGCATGAGCTCTGCCTCACCCGACCTCTGGGTCGGGGGCCCCACCTTGCCTGACCACTGGGGGCAGGTTTCACCTCGCCCGACCTCTAGGTTGTGGCTCTACCTCGCCTGACCTCTGGGTCGGGGACTCCGCCTCGCCTGACCCCTAGGTCAGGAGCTCCGCCTCGCCTAGCCTCTAGGTCAGGAACTCTGCCTTGCCCTACCCCTCAGGCGCGGGTCCTAATGAAAGCCCATACCGCCGCCAACCACTACGGGCCAGAAAGTACAACCCAAAGGTCAAACTTCTGGCACCGTGTAGGGAGCGTGCACATCTCATCATGACATATGCCCATGACATGTCACTATGGGGAATTCACACCACCAACAGTGACTGATGTGTGGTCACTATGCTACCTACTCTCTGTACGATTGCAGACCAGAACACTGGTCCGCCGCATTGCCCACATGGACAGGATGGGACACCACGACCCGCTAACAACACCAGGGCGTGGCATCAGTGGCAATCAGGCGCCCAGCATGGAGCCATCCTTGTCACCTTCTGTAGTGTCAACGGGACCCGCATAAAGGGGAAGAAAGGCTCGGCGGTCCAAGAGGCCTTCTTCCCCTTGACTTTTCCCCTCTATCTCTCTCTCTTCTTCTCTGTAATCTGCTCTTCCCCTTGGACTATAAAAGGGGAAGCAGGACGCCCCATGAAGGACACACAAAAATACGGCTGAACACACACATGACACATCCTAGCAACACACACAAACCAGAGACTTGGGATCCCGTCCCTCTCTCGCTCATTTGTAACCCCTACTGCAAACTTCAAGTGCTAGTAATACGAGCAGCAGTGTTGAACTGGACGTAGGGACTTTCTGTCTGAACCAGTATAAACCTTGTGTCCTCTAAGCACACCATCCGAGCCAGACACGCATACTAGAAATTTACTAGTCGGTAACTCAAAACACCTACAGGTCTCCTCTTCTTTTGTAGGCTTTGTCAGCGTGGCATGACATCGCCTTGTGTCCTCCTTTGGACCACTTGCAGTGTTGGCGGTCCTTAACTCACATTTTAACCGCCAAATATCCACTAAAATGAACACCAAATGTAGAGATAGGGTTTATAAACTAACAGATTCCATGAGTTTGGTGATTTATCAGGACATGTCAGAAATAACATGAAAATGAGCTTAAGGTATAGAAGAAACACAACAATACAAACATCCAACATGAGCCCAAGGGGAGAAGGCCCACATACTAGGCAAATCAGGGCCCAGTCATGTGGAGAACAATCCCATAACTAAAGCAAAACCATCTCAACTCCGCGCCAAACACCCATGGGCCAAATGAGAAGCCCACAAGGCAGTTACCTACGAAAGCTGAGCCCGAACGGGGCCAGTAGGGGGCGGTCTCCCCCTTGGTGTGGACACACCCTTTTTGAGCCCAAACCGACCCATCTTTTGCAGGAGGACAGATACCGCCTCTCCATGGACGGTTGCGGGTGTTTGGTTGGTAATTTAAATGCATAGGAGGGCGGTTTGCTCATTTTATGAGGGGAATCAAGAGAATATTCCAAGAATACTCCCCTCCTCTCCACCTATAAAAGGAGGCCTCCCCCTCACTCACAACAACACACTACAAGGAGCAAAGAGCAAGACCAAGAGCATCACTCTAAGGGCTTAGGTTCTAGCTAGCTATCTAGAGTTGATAGGGAGAGATGTGAGGGAGAGTTCAGGGAAGTGCCGGACTTGTCGGTAGTCTTCCCCAGCTTGTACCTTGATGAACACCAATACCTCAACGGATTCTTCTGCGAAGTGATTGTTCATGATTCTTATGATCATAAGTCTTTCAATTAGCTAAGCTTTATTCTTATTTACTTGTGGTTTGTCATCCATTCTTGTAGCGGATACTCTAGTAGAGGGCTCCTAATAGAGACGGATAACCTTGTACGACGCTAGAGTAGTTGTTGATAGCGTAGACGTGGTGTCTAGGCTAGATGCTACCTTCGTTTGCCTTGTGCCCCATGGTTGAGGGATAGGTGGCAGGTGGTGATAGCCCTATCCATCCCTTGTAATCCCCCACATTCGGGTTCGG